AAGAATAGTAGTTTTTAACATCTTGAAATTCTCACATTACATAGCCTACTCACATTTAACATTTAGGAATAGTTACTATCCTTACATTATTCGCATTTAGGAGTAGTTGCTAGATAAAACACCATTTTAATCGACATTCCAAACTAAGGACTAATAGTAGTAGATTGGAATTTGACTAAAAACATCTTTCATCTCTTCCTCGTGGGATCAATATTTGGGGCTTAATCAGAAAGTCTTATATTACTTGAAGTGATACGTGCACTTCTGTACAACCCATAGTGTGTGAACTATTTGCTATATTTCATAATATTTTACTTTTGTATGTTAGCTGCTAAATATAAATTGGGTCAAGTTTTTATTTTTTTTAAGCTAAATTACTATGTAATTATGGGTCGAGTTAAGTTTTTGGCATCGTCTCAAGAAAATTGAATTGACATAAAACAAGCAGAAAAACAACGCACACCAGGGGCACATCACCACCTAACAGAGCCATGACCAACAATGAGGAAGAGTATGAAGCTTGGAACACATGACTACAGTTAATGGACATAATAGACATTGTCATTTATGGTGATCCATAACTCATAATTTAGCAAGTTGGCGGATAGTACAAGATTTTAATGTCAAGACTAGCAGAACATCAACAATATATGATGAAGTTGTTGGAACAGATTCCTAGTGTGATACTATAGAATTCCTCGAGGAGATACTACCCATGCCAATTCTTTACCCAAGCTTGTTAAGGAATTGGCGTGTCCGTCGGAGGATTCTATTGTTGTTATGGTATAAGGATGTCAAGTTTTGTCACATAGGGATCTCAAAAGTTTGCACAAGCTTGGAAAGGAAGAGATAGTAGCTACAGTAACAGACAATATTGAGGATTGGCACAAGCCATTATAAGAATATTTACAAACAGGAAAGTGATCCACCTTAAAATTACTTATGTTCTTATATACATTTTATGCTCAATTTTTTAGGATATTACCATTTAATGAAGGGTATTTATATGTTTTTGGTTTGCAGGTGCAAGAAAAAGAGTTTAAGATTAAAAAAGAGGAAAAATACATCAAAAAGTAGAAAAATGACCTATATTTAAGAAAAATACCAAACCAGCTGAACTAGCTTCTAGGCTCCAGAAGCAGAAATTGGTTGGTGCCTAGGCGCTACAGTTTGGCGCCTAGTTGCCACGGTTATTTTCTAGAATATTCATTGAATAAGGCTAAATTTTGAAGAGATGTCTGAAGCAACCCTTGGTCATTTTTGTAGCTCTTTAAATATGGATAAATTCCAAGTGGCTAAATGGTCGTATTTATAGAGTTTTATTGTGTGTGAGTGTGTTAAGTGTGTGGGGAGTTTTCTTTATGAGTCTTTATTTTTTCTGGAGTTTGTGAGTCATGTAAGTGTTGTTGGAATCAGAGAAGTCGGAGAAAATCAGTGGAGTGATCGGGGGAACATTTCAGATAACTATTTGTATATTTGTCTTTAAGTTTTGTACTTTGGATTGAAGTTCTATAAATATACTTTATTTTGTTATCTCTATGCTTCGTGAATAGTTTTCTTTTTTTTTCTTTGCAATATAAAGTAATTAAGTAAGTGACTTTGATTTTGTTTAGAACTTGTTTTAGTCTTATAGATTGTGATAATATTTTTCCTGGTCCTTCATTTACTTTACAAATTGGCCACTTGTATTTACTTTACAAATTGGCCACTTGTATTTACTTTACAAATTGGCCACTTGTATTGTAAAAACCAGTTGAGGAACTTATAGAATTTAAAGGGGTAAAATTTCTTTACTTCTAAGTATCACATTCTACCTTGCAAAGAACGACTGCGATCATCCGAAGGGAGGTGCAAATAGATATGGAGATAAGGCTTGAAGGGCATAGAATTGATGTTTTTAGAGTGACAGACAAGATTCTTTTATCTATTTGGTCTAGAGATTGGAACTAAGGGTCATTGGTAGGTCCTATAGAGAGGGCATAATGAGTAATCTAGGAGTGAGAAACTATAATCGACCCAATTTTACTATACATGCCAACACTAACTTTAGATAACTTTAGATTAGTCTAACTTTAGATTAGTCAATGTTCTTTGCACATTTTGAAAGAAGTAAAGAATAGGTATGCTCCTATTTTTCACAATACCACATTTAAGTTTCTAAATAATTTTGAAATCTAACACAGATTATGAATTATTTGTAAGGAGAAAGTCTCTTTTTATATATTGTCTAAGTCATCACTTTTATTTTTACTAGCATGTTGTAGAATTTAGTAAACTTAATTTTTATCTTCAAATAATTGATGTAATCTTAAGTAAAGTTTTCTTAAAGTAAAAATTCTAGTATTTCATTTAATTGTTTTCTTGTTTTCAGCATTCTTGATGGAATGATAATGGGGTTTTTAACAAAAACTCTATATTACTTGAAAAGATACGTTTACTTGTGTAGTAACCTTAATGAGAAAACTATCTCTTTAATTTTTATCATATTAAATTTGTTCTCACTAGTCGCCAAATATAATTTGGGTCAAGTTTTTGGCATATTAAGGAACATAAATATCTGTGTGATTGCGAGTCTCGTCAAGTTTTTGCCGCCGTTGTCGGGGAAGCGACGGAAAAACGAAACTTTATAGGAAATATCTTTTTCAAACTTTTCTTTGAAACTTTATTTTTCATTGCTAAAAATTTTAGTTTTTACTTGCTTGCAGTTTTTTTAAATTACAAAAAATATAAAAAATTTTGAAAATTACAAAAAAAAAATATGAAAACCGAAAATTAAAAAAAATTTGCAAAAAACAAAAAAAGAAATATTTTATTTTATTTTATTTTATTTTATTTAGATTGTTTTAGTATTTTGTTTTTTTTAATTTTACTTTTTGTATGCGAAGTTCAAGATTTGAAGATTTAGTACGCTACAATTCTGAATTAGAACAAACCATAAGAAGAATTTGATAGAAAAAACAACTTCATAATTTTCAAGAAATGGCGAACACATCACAAAATAACATTGAAAGTTTTACTAATGAAAATGAATATCAAAATTTATAAATGCCTTTAAGGAATTATACAAACCCTACAACAGATGAAATTCATTTAAGTATTCAAATCTCTGCTGTAGCGGCTAATTCATTTGAACTTAAACCTATTATAATAATATGTCTTTCATAAATTTGGCAGGATTAATTAGGTTTAATAATATACATTATATTTAAATTTATGAAAGATATATTATTAAACCTGCAAGATATATTATGTAGCCAAATTTATGAAAGATATATGTAGCACTGAGTGAAAGTTAAGCCAAACTGTTGAAGCTTATGAAACTATTGCGCTAGTGAATAATGTAGTGCAATCACTCAGAAGAAGCTTCCTCAAAAGCTTAAAGACCCCAGTAGTTTCACAATACCCTGTGCGATTGGAGAGAAATTTTATTGAAAAACCTTATGCAATTTGGGAGCTAGCATTAATATCATGCCTTTATCCATTTTTTGAAGGTTAGAGTTAGTAGAAATTTCTCCCACCACTGTAACCCTTCAGTTTTTGGATCGATTTATTACTTAGTCTGTAAGGGTTATAGAAGATGTACTTGTTAAGGTGGATAAATTTGTCTTCCCTATGTTTTCATTGTGCTTGATATGGATGAAAATAAAGAAATTCCTTTTATTTTAGAGATATATTTTCTTGCTACCGGACGTGCTATGATTGATGTTCAAAAAAGAGAGTTGACCATGAGAGTTAATGATCAGGAAGTAACATTTAATGTTTTAAAGTCAATGAGGTCTCTTATTAATGAAAAATGTTATGGGATGGATATTATGGATTATATGATTGCTAAACATTATCAAGAAAAATGTGAAGTCATTTCAAAAGAAAAAAATGAATTGATATTAAATTAGGAAAGAATAGATAGTGAATTTGAAAGTGATTTTGAAGAAAATCGTTAGAGATAAATGCTGAGGATACAAATTATGTTCAGAAAAATTTTGAGATTTTGTATACTAGTGAAAATAGTAAATAATAGTAAATCTCTAATCCCTTCAATAGAAAAACCTCTTGAACTTGAGATGAAAGTACTTCCTACACATTTAAAGTATGCATTCTTAGGAAATTAATTTACTTTATCTGTAATAATATCCTCATTTTTAACTAACCATTAGGAAGAAAAATTATTGGAGACATTGAGAAATTATAAGAAAAATTTTTGTTGGACATTAGTAGAAATTAAAGGAATCAGTCCTTCAATCAGCATGCACAGAATTTTCATGGAAGAGAATTGTAAACCTATGGCTCATCCTTAAAGGAGATTAAATCCTATATTGAAAGAATTGGTAAAAAAAATTTAAAGTGGTTACTGATGCGGGCAAAATTAGTGTGATATTTTTTCAAATATTTTTTTAATGTTACAAAAAAAATACACATGACAGATACAATAGTAACTATACAGTTTAATCCCAACAAAAATAACTTTAGTGGAAATAGTTTTATCTTTTTAAAAATATTTAAATTGCTAAATCCCTGAAAAAAACAAGTACATGTATCGCTCAAGTATTAAAGGGCTCTTATGAAGTCAAGGTTCTGATCCCACAAGGAGGTTGGAAATGCCTATAAGTAAATTCTTAAGATTATAATGTAAACTACAATTTTAAACTACAAAGGTGAAGTGCAAAATTTGAATCTAGAGTAAATGAGTGAATGTTAAATAAAATGCAGTTAAAAGACTAAGTTAATTAAACTAATTGCCAAACTTTCAAAAGTAAACTTACGAAAACTAAACAAAGTTTTTGTGATAAAGAGTTCAAATTTAAGAAAGCATCCTTCCTATTTACAATGAGTATCTGGATTGTGAAGAAATGAAAATCATATATATATATATATATATATTTTTTTTTATTATTTTTTTTTTATGTAAGGAGCATAGCCCCAATTCATTAAAAGTAGCCAAGTACAAAGAGAAGGAAGGTGACAGGAGAGGGCTTTTTAAAGGTAAGCTCCTCTCTAACCTATTACACATACTTTCTAAGATAAGGGATAGGCAAACGATCACTGGATAAAAGGAAGTCCAGTGGGGGGGGAATTCTTCTACTAACTAGTGGAACTTCTGTAAAAAGTCCCCTTCTAGCTAGCCAGTTGGCTGGTCTGTTTCCTTCTCTGTGAATGTGAGAAAACTTTAGGGAGCAAACTTTTAGCAGTTGATGAATACCAGACATCCAGCAGATTAAATTCCAAGGAGTTTTTGAGATCCCATGGAGGATGTTAATAAGTTGCAAGGAGTCAGATTCAACCCATAATTGATCAAACAAGCAAGATCTGGCTAAGTTGAGGGCCCAGAAAACTGCTTGACATTCTGCCTCAAGTGAGTCAACAGCCTTGATTGGAGATTGGAAATATAATATGCATTTCCCCTCATGGTTCCTAAAGACCCCACCAATGCCTGCAGACTGGGATTTTTGGCTGCCATCTATGTTAATTTTGATCCAACCAAGCTTTGGGGGAGTCCAGCAGATAGTCACAACTTTGGAAGTTTGAGGCTTGAGAAAAGAAACAATCTCCAACACAGTCTTATACTTTTTAAAGTTGATCAGTTTTTGAATAAAAGCAATACAATTTAGACCCACCCTCTTAGGATCAATAAGGGAGCTATCATGCTTTGCCTGGTTCCTTGCCATCCACACAAACCATGCCACAATATTGGGGATGTCCTGGAGTTCAGCACCCCTCCAATCAGCCCAGCTAGTATAGAACATCTTCCATGTGAGGTGCAAGGTTGGGATTCTAAGTTTACCAATCACAAATGACCAAACCTCCTGTACCCAATGACACTCAAAGAACAGATGGGAAATTGTTTCCTCTTGAGCCAAGCAGAAAAAACATCTAGAAGGACCCCTCAAACCCTTCAACTTTAGGATGTCATCCGTGGGAATCATCTTTGAGAAAAGTCTCCAAATGAAGAAGGACATGGATGGGGTGAGGAAATTATTCCAGATGGTGTGACCCCAGTGTACCAGATGGGGTTGTTGAGAAGGGATAGGGTTCTTTCTAACCACAATTTTGTCTTTCACCCCAGGTTTGATAGTAAGCTTCTGAATACTGCTTAATTGAGATGGGCTACAGAAAGGAATGATAGGAGCAAGGTTCCACTTGCCAAAAGCCCAGATATCTTTCACAAACATAGGGGCAGCTGGGACAAACTGGTCCTGAATAAGGCAACCATCCAATGACCAATTATCCCACCAGATGTTAACCAAGCCCTCACCAAGTTCCCAGACAAACAACTGTTCAGCATCCTGTCTAACTTTTAACATCCTTTTCCAGATTGGAGAATCCCCCACACCCACATCCTTTTCCAAATTATTGTCAATACATATATAAAGATGGTTGCGGTTGGACCTAGCTTTACTCTTCTAGGGTTTTAGCAGTGATGGATCTTCTTGGAGGCACTGTGGAGCTAGGTAGAGGAGCTACTTTTCTCTTCAAGGTGTTTTTGTTGGTTGAGAAGGTTGTTTTGGTTTTGCTTGGAAGCCTTCTTTTAAACTATTGTTACTGTTTTATTGCCTTGCTGGAGCAGCTTGCTATTTTTGCTTCACTAGCTTGGGTGTTTTTGGCACAGGACTGGCTTTGTCAGTATTGAATATTTGTTGGTTTTTTCTGTTTCATACTCTACTTGAGGTTTCTGCTACTATTTTTCCCCTTTTCTGAGTTTTGGTTCTTTAACTAGTTGTGTTTTTTCCAGCTCCTGGTTTTCCCTTTTGTTTTGATTGGTGCTTTCAATGGAATACCACATTGATGTTGAAACCAATGCCCAATTGACCAAGACAACTTTTGTTGAAGTTGTTGGAAGTGGTTTTGAAGTGCCTAAATCATTTGATGCCTAAATCAGCCTAAATCATTTGATCATTTGGTTTTCCCACAAAGTCTTCATGATGCTACTGCAAGGAGGGGGCTTTGCCCTTTTATTAGTCCCTTAGGAATGAAGGAAGGGGAACCTGCCAATATATTCTCTCCACAAGAACTTAATGATCTATATGAAACTATTAAGTTTACTTTAATAGGAATATTTCAATACGGTCATCCAAAAATGGACTTGGTAAATAAGTATTTTGAGGATTTGAAACATACAGGATCAAGGAGGCTGGGATTATTAGATAGCAGACACCTGTTAAGCTCTTTATTTAATGAAGAATACTATGAAAGAGCATTTTCTAAACAAACCTTGATCATTAATGGAGTTCCAATGAAATTAATGAAGTGGAAACCTAGGTTTGACCCTACGAAGGAACCTCCTATTGTTCCAATGTGGCTCAAATTCCCTAACCTTCCTATTCAATATTACCATCAAAATGTGCATTTTAGCATCAGTAGAGTGCTTGGTTGTCCTCTGAAAATTGATGCTCCTACTTATAATTTGTCTAGACCAGCTGGTGTTGGAGTCCTGGTGGAGAGGGACATTACCTTACAAGATATTGAAAGGGTGTGGATTGGAACTGAAGAAGAAGGGTTCTGGAAGAATATTGTGGTGGAGAAAAAACCTGTATATTGTCAACATTGTAAAATGCTTGGACATAATTTGGATAAGTGTTATAAACTTCATCCTCCATCTAAAAGGAAAATTTCAATAGAAAAAGTTACTGCTTCTAGGCATGCAAAGACAACAGACTAGGAAGGGGCAGGTAGAGCTGATGTTGTTGTTGTTGATGCTAAGAATACTATTGGGGTTGAGCCCAATGGTAAAGTTGGGGATCAGGAGCAAAATATTTGCATTGACAATAATTTTAGGGGAACTATAATACAAGATGACAGCTTATTAAGCATTAACCCAATTAGGATTGATGACCATACAATCAACAATTTAACAGATGTTTTAACTGAAGATTGGCAAGTTTAAAGATGTAATAAGAAAAAGAAATGAAAATCTAATATTAAGCAACGTTTGGATGGTCCCTCCACTGCAATTGTGGATGACCATCCTAGGACTAGGGGGAATGGGAGGAACTTTTCTCAATGCTAAAGTTCCTATGTTTGAATATTAGGGGTATTGCTAACCCCTCTTCTCTCAAGAGATTAATACATCTTGTGAGAGTTCATAAAGTGTGGTGTTTAGCCATTATGGAACCTTTGGTTACTAAACATTCCCACAAAATTCTAAAAAAATTCCCTAAATTTACTCATTTCTCTAATTATAATAATAAGATTTGGTTCTTTCCTAGAGCAGAACTCTAGTGGTCAGTTTTGCATAATCATTCCCAATTTATTCATATCCAATTCTCGATTGGAGCTCAAGTTGGCTATGCCACCTTCATCTATGCCAGCAGTCTTGCTAATAATCAGGCCACTTTATGGTTTGATTTAACTCAAATTAGGCAATCTGTCAACTCCTTTTGGATTTTGGGGGGCTTAAATTGTATTTCTTCTCCTAGTGAAAGAAGAGGTGGTAGACCACCTTCTGTATCTGTCATGAATAGATTCAATGATTTTCTATCTGAGGCTGAATTATTTGATTTGGGGAATCAAGGTCCTGATTCCACTTGGAGAAGGGGTTCCATGTGGGAAAGGCTTGATAGAATGCTAGGTAATTCTAAATGGGTTCAAACCTTCCTCTTTACTATCATTTCTCATCTGGCCATGGCTAGTTCTGACCACAGGCCTCTTATTTGCTCCATTCAAAATGTGGAAATCCCCAATAGAGCTCTTTTCAGATTTCAAAATATGTGGACTCTACATCCTCAATTTGTTGAGAAAGTTGCTAAGGTATGGAGGTCAGATGTGGAGACTAATCTCTAGAGTAATCTATGGAAACTCCAAAAGAAGGTAACAGCACATCTAAAGCAGTGGAATTGGGACACTATTGAAAATATACATGAAAATTTGATTAATGCCCAAAGTAAAGTTCTTAATATGGAAAAGAGTTTTCAAAGGGGTTTAAATTCTGAAGTTGACCTTCATAAAGCTAATGAAGATCTTCTAATGCAGATTAACTATTTTGAAAGCTTTTTGATGCAGAAGGCTGTTGTTACCAGATTTATTGAGGGAGATAAAAACTCAAGTTATTACTATGCTTGCATAAAGTGCAGAAGGAAAAAAAAATATGATTTTATCTATCAATGATTCTTGTGGTAATTTCTTGTCTGATGTTGAGGCTATTGCCCAAGATGCTTTACATTATTTCCAAAATATTTTTAATGATTAGTCATCTTCTAGAACTTAGATCAATATTACGCTCTTCTCTGATTGTCAAGACTATGTCCACAGTTTGGAACTTAATAATATTCCCTTTGAAGGAAAAATTAAAGTTGCTCTAGATTCTATTGATGATCATAAGGTGGCTGGACCTGATGGCTTCACTACTAAGTCTTATAAGGCTACTTGGAATATCATCTGTGGGGAGTTTGTTGCTGCAGTGCAAAGCTTCTTTAAAGGTATTGACCCCCCTAAGTACTTTACTGCTTCCACTATAACTTTGATTTTCAAAAATTCCAGCAGGTTTGGGTGAGGTGATTTCAGACCTATCAGCCTAACAAATGTTACTTCTAAAGTAATTAGCAAGATAATTGGCACCAGGCTTCAACCTCATCTTGAGCAGCTTATTAGCAATAATCGGGTGGCTTTTGTGAAAGGCAGACAAATTACAAATAACATTCTTTTGGCTTAGGAGTTGTTGCTGGATCTTGATAGAAAATGTAGAGGTAGTAATCTCATTCTTAAATTGGATATCCAAAAGCATATAATACAATTAACTGGGATTTTATCTTGGCTACTTTAAATGCTAGGTGTTTCTCAGAGGCTTTTATCAATCTGATCAGAAGATGGCTTATTTGCGGTAACCACTCTATCTTAATTAATGTCAAGAGCTAAGGTTTCTTCACTACTTCTAGGAGAATTAAACAAGGAGATCCTTTGTTCCCATCAATCTTTATTCTTGCTATGGATTATCTTTCTACACTTCTAAATTAAATGTTTGTCTCTTCTCCTCATTTGGCATATCAGCACAAATTAAATTTTGGAGTGAGTCACCTGTCTTATGCAGATGTTATTATTATTTTCTCAAAGGCTACTAAGACTGCTGTGAAGTTTCCTTATCAAGGACTCAAGCACTTTTAAAGAACATTTGGTATGAATCTTAACAAACAAAAATGTAAATTTTTACTAGCTCACACATTCTTCCACAGATTAAGCAATGGATTTCAAAGCACACTGGCTTTAGCCTGGCTTCTCTACCAATCAATTATCTTGGAGTACAATTAATTAAAGGGAGAGACAAACAAACTCAATTTGATGGTGTTATTGATTATATTCAAAAACAACTTCAATGTTGGACCAATTCCTTCCTCTCAAATGGAGGTATGATCACTCTCCTTAAAAGCATCTTAACTTCCATCCCCTCCTATAATATTCAAATGTTCATCATGAAGAAGGGGAATCAAATTAGGCTGGGCAGAATTTTTAATAAATTCCTGTGGGTAAAACAGAAGAAACAGTTTCATTGGTTAGCTTGGAAAAAACTTTGTAAGCCTCTACATGAAGGTGGTTTGGGCTTTAAAGATTTTCAGCACCTAAGTTTTATTAATCTTTGCAAACTATGGATTAAGTTTAGAGTCTAAGACAGTCTATGGGCACTATTTATGAAGGGGAAGTACTGCAGGTCATTACATCCTAATCTGGCTAATAAAACTGGAGGTCAAAACTCAAGCTGAAGATTTATTTATTTGGATGCTTGGAGAAGGGGAAATCAATTTCTGGTTAAATAAATGGGCTTGGAATGAGGAAAAGTTGTATTGTGACACCTCCAATCCCAACTATCTGACAAAGGTGAAGGAATTTTGGACTGAAAATCTATGGAATTGCAATCTGCTGTCTACCATATTAAATGAAGAGCAAATGTATTGGGTTAAGAATATAGCAATTGATCCTGCACAAAAAGATAGAGTCATTACTAGACAAGCCCCCTCACAAAAGCTTTCAACATACATTTTTCAACAATTCTATCAGTGGTAGCCTGTCCTGCGGGGGAAAACTATTTGAGGGAACACCTTCCATGTTATTTTTCTGCTGGAGACTTTGGCAATCTTTATTACCTACTGATGATATTTTGAAGATGAAAGGGCTCAGAGGACCTTCATGTTGCTGCCTGTGTAGTGAGGCAGAAGAAAGTTTGGAACTTATGTTCTTCTCTTGCAATTTCTTCCAAAGAATTCGGACTGAATTGTTGATTCAGCTCAACAACATTGATACTCTGAAAGTCAGCAAAGTCAGCTGGGAAAAATTTTTGTGGTGTTGGAAGGAATGGCTGGAAGCTAAGTTGATAATC